GCCTTTTTTCACTAGTTCCCTCAGGAGAAGTTGAACTACAGATAAAAGTATAGTAGCCGATGCTCTGTAGTTAATGTGAATTGCACTGCTGGCTTCAAGTAGGTCTCACTTCTAAAATACGTGAGCCTAATTGAGACCAGAAAGTTCCTGCAACTCGCAGGTTAATGTGGTTGGGTGATGCTTAGAGGTCTGTAAAGAGCAAAGATTGTGCCTGTCTGATCTGAAGTTCGGTGGTCTCCACGTTGGTGCTTGAGAAATCTTCGGCTTCACCAGGAAGATTGTTTCTTGTACTTCTGAGTGTCATGGCTTTATCCATGTTAATGAGCAGTACTGGTAGACCTTCACTGAGTAGTTTGCGTTGAGGAATGATCCTGATGCTGCTGGAATAGAGCAGAGAGCTGACAGTGTTCCTAATAACTATTTTTAAGGTAACGGAGCCTGACATCTGTCTTCAGAAAACTCTTTGTTGATGCAAGAGTTGCAGTAAGAAGGTAAGAGGGTTGCAGTGGGAAGGAACTTGAAGCAGGCTGCAGCTGTTAGCTTGTTTCAGGTGGTTTTGTTATGTATGAGGTGGAGGCTCCGAGCGCTGCGTTCCAGGTGTCCTCCTCCTGCAGGGTTTTGGAGCAGCTGTGAACAGAAGTGTGTAACTTGGGCGCAGTAAAACTCTTTCAAAGAACTGAATTTGTAAATGATGCAACTTTCTCTGTTTCTCAATGAGGCGCTTGTAAGGCACTGACAGTGAGGTTGGTTTCCTGGTTTGTTTTAGTTACGGCTGCCTGCTGGAGGAAACCAGGGAGCCTTGTTCTTTATGAAGCTGGTAGAACAGCTGTAGCTCTATCCATCATTGGGATAAATAAGAGTCCAATAAAGAGCCGAAAGCCTTCTTCCTTTATCTAACTGGCAAATATAACCGGCATCCTTCATTGTAAGCCTGTCGTTGAGTCTTGGTGAGTTAATTAGAAGATTTCTGAGAAGGAAAAATGTTCTTCCCTGCATTTTTTTCATGGGGTTACTATTTTCCCCTGCACAATCTTAAGTCCGATTGTTGAAAACAACTGACATGAAAGACAAGTTATTCAGGAAAGCTTTGCCAGGCACTAGTTTTCCTGCCACCATTATCCCAGCCTGAGAGCTGGCTGTAGCCCGGTGGGTCTAGAGCGTGCTCTGAGTGGTGTTGACGTGCCTTTGACGCAAGATGGCCACCAGAACGTGTGTAAATAACTTCAAGTTTGCTTGTAGCTGGTTCCTTCGAGAGCTATGGCCCAGTTCGTATTGGAGAAGGTGCCATTCCTTTGAGCGTTTGTTTACGTATTTATTGAGGTCAGCAAAGTGAAGAGTAATTATGGGCTTTAGACTCACAACAGGCATCTGATGTATGAGAGCTCCAGAGTGTGAAATTGAAAAGCTGAGTGGCTTCATGCTATTGTTTGCATGATAAAAACTCCTAATATATGGATGACTCTTGAAGATTTTTTTTTTAATTTCATCATAGCCATTTAAATTTTATTTAAGGGAGGCTTTGCATAATGTTCTGACCACGGGAGGTGGTCCAAAAGTTTACAAGAGCAAGTCTTGGCAACATAAATCTGGTATGAATTTCGGGAGATGTAACTTCTTTAGAAAAAGCCATGAGACTAGGATTACGGCAAGTGACTTTGTATCAATGTAGTGGCTTTTGAATAGCCAGTGATAAACATCTCCTTCAGTTTTCAGAGGCTTTGTTTAAGTTGATCTTCCAGGTGTTTGTATAGGTGTTAACTTTGAAAGTCAGCCTCAGTTTTTCGGAGCTGTTTTTTGTCTTAAATTCAGAAACACGTTCTCTGAGCAGATTTGATTCGGGTCACACCAAACCTCCTAGGTAGAATAGCGCTGGCCACCACTCTGGCCTGTGGTGACAAAACGGGAAACTTTCTGAAACAAAGGTTCAGCGAAATCGTACTGAGCAGTGCAACTGATGGGCGTGTAGCTGAAAGGAGATGTGTTGTAACTGAAGATAAAGTTGGTGCTGTACAATTCCAGGTCCTGTTGGCAGCAAACACTAATGGCTGGAGATCTGCATGCTAATGAACCTGTGAAAGATAGGGAGAAAACAGCCGTGGTGCTCCTGCCAAAGTGCTAATTCTTACCTTGGTTATGAAGATCAAGTATCTTGTTCAGATTTAAAAATCAGTTTCACTTATGCTTATAGTAAAAGGTTGAAGAATGTGGTCATAACTAGTTAATTAAAACGGCATACTTTAGCGCTTCCCTGGCTTTATGCTAAGACCCAGGAAATGCTCTCTGCTTGCAGAGAGGCCAGCAGTGCAGGAACAGCATTCATCAGTCTTTGTTAGTGCAGCGAGCTGCCTTGATGAACAGTTCATTAACCAGGAGAAGCAGAATCAGTCTTTTAATACACTTGCTATAGCGGTTAGGCCCTGACAGCGAGCAGAAAAAGCTCAGGAGGCTAGTCTGAGAGCTAAACCTTGCTGCTGGTCTGAAACTAATCTTTTCCCCTCCTTCCACCAGCCTTTGGGTAGCAGCATTCATTAAAATACTTCTCTAAGCTGTCGTTTGAGAGTAGCGCGTATGCAGGATCTCATGGTCGTTGAGCAGATGGTTCGAACATAACAAATGGGACAATAACAGACGCACTTAAGAAGAAACCTGTTCTAACTCTTCTAGACACCTCTCAAGATTCACTGTGGTATTAATTGTTTCATTGTAAAATGTGTAAGATTGAGGTAACAGTTAAAACAAATAACCGGAGGCATCTGGCAGCGCGTGGATCCCTGGCACGCCGTGCAGGCGTTGGAATGGGGCAGACGTGTTTCCAGCAGTTCAGGCACGCTTGTCGGTAGCTTCAGAGGGCTAAAATTCACTACGAACAAATCCAAAGTCTGTGGGTTTTTTTCCCCTGGGGTGCTGGGAGGGGAGGGGGGGAATGGGCCGGATGGATCTGTACTTGCTGTAGCTGCAGGTCTAAAGAGCCTGGTTTCTAGCAGGAGTAAAACCTGAGCTGTTGCAGGATCTGCCTTAGGATTCAGAATGGATTTACGCTGCAGCAAGCACGTGGGGATCATTTGTTACTCTCCTCCTTCCACCCCCCCCATCCCCACTTCTGGTAGCAAAAGATTAGTTTGGGGCAGGGGGAAGTTACTGCTTCAGCCAAACATTTGAGGCTTCATGTAAAGCAGCCAGTAGTTGAGGCTTTGGTGCTCTCGTCTAGAGCCTGATCTCTTGTTCATCCAAGTTCTCCAGGAAATGAGAAACATAAGCTGCAGGTATGTTTGTGCATATATGCAGAGTGCTGTGTTTCTGGAGCGCCGGGAACACGGAGGCCTCTGAAACCCTGCACTCCTCCTCAAAATGGCTGCCAGATGTGTTGGCTCTACTGAATTCTCTGGAGCCTGACACCAGAAATGCTGAGGTTATTACCAGTTTGGTTCTTGCTGCGTCCTTCCTTCGGTCTTCCAGGCGCGGTGTTGCAAGACCGAGTGTGACCCTGGACGGCTGCGGTACCTGCGGAGGCTTTCAGCTGGCACGCTGGCGCGCTCGGGGCAAGGCTCGCCGGGACTCTGTTTAAACAAAGGAAGCATGTTTGTTTTTACAGCTCAAGCTTGGGCGCCTGGGCTGGGATCCTGTGCCATTTCCCCGTGCTAGGAGCAAGATTCTCGAGGAAGACAGCCTCTCCCTGTGCTGCAAAGCACAGCTCTTACAAATATGCATCTTATCCTCTCCGGCTTGTCAGTGCTGGAGAATTCTTGAAGCTTAACTTGGATTTGGTTTGATATTTGTCTGTAGGTGCAATAAACAGTATAGAGGCCCCTGAAGTGAACCACAGTCTGGCTGCCGATGCTGGGTGTCTTCTCCGGACGGTCTTGTAAGCTCCTTGCTGGTGTGGCCGCACTACTGCTTGATCACCACATAACCCCGCCAGTCCCAGCTGGATCCTCTGTAACCCATTTCCCAGTCAGTGGGAAAGGGAGCTGCCAGCACCTGTGATAGTGCATCTGTCTGTTCAGCGTTCATCACAAGAGAGCAGACTTGCTATGCAGCTGTCTCTAGCATCACTAGGCAGAACTTTTAAGAGTGTATCTTTAAAGCCACGCTGCATGGTGACTGGCTGTTTTTCTGACAGCACGTACACTTTTCCTGCAACAGTCAGCAGTTTGCTGAAATAACAAACCTTAATGATAGAAAGGTGTTGGGAAGTACTTGGGCTAGTAGTAGGATCCGTAAGGAAAGTGTATCATCTAACATATGCTGCTCTGCCGTTTAACTGAGGAAAAATGTTTCTTGAAATAGTCCTCCTTACTCCTTCGTCTAATTTGCTTTGGTTTATTTCTGGCATCAAAATGAGAATGTCATTTCGATGTGGTACAGCTTTTATAGTAAGTGCAGATCCATATGAGTAGGATGTATCTTGTGCTTCGTAGCCAAGGCAAGCTGTATATGGTGACACTTTTAGGGAGTATTTGGGTTGTCTTAAGATAGAAAGTGGTTTCCACCATTAAGCGAGTGTGCCCAGGGATGGAGTGCATGGGAAGCGGTGGGTAGACTTCATGGCAGCTTGTTCAGTTGGACTTGTGCTGCGAATTCAAGGGATGGAAACGCCTGGATATATGTCTGGGCGTGCTGCATGGGAACCTGTGTAGTCTTACGGGGAGCAATCGAGTTATTTAAGGAGGTATTGG